TTGCGACCAAATATCTGACTGCGCCACAGAGGCAACATACAGGAAGAGTCATTGTAGCCAAGGGAGGCATGATGAAGTTCATGAAGGCTGGAGCATGTGGCTGGAACTCCCCTCATGGGGAAGAATGGGCCAGCTGATGTTCGTTTGGCTTTCCGCTTTTGCTCTTTTTTTCAGTCTGGGTCCCCGACTCTTGGTCTGGTGCTATTCATACTCAGTAAAGTTCCCAGCCCTTTACTTAATCCTCGTGTAGAAAGCGATCATGGTCCATCGGTGTGCCTCATCAATGTCCGGGCTGGTCTTGGCAATCTGCATTAACCATCACACTCTGTTTCTTTCCTCGGGGCTGAGCTCACCCGCCTTGTGTGCCATTAAGGCTTGAACAGTCCTCTTGTACTTTCTCACAGTCCATGAGCCTCCTTTCTTTTCCACCGCGTGGAGTGCTGAAATGGCCTTCAGCGAAAGACTCTAATCTTCCATTGGGAATGGGCCACACTCACTCTCTGATTGTGTGTCTGCAGACGCTAATAAAGTTCAATACACATGGTGCCATACAAATGTTGAGCTATTGATCAGAGAAAAAGTTAATAGAAGTCAATCCATTTGCAAAATTCTACTAGAGCATTTGGCAGCTTTAGGGAAAAAAAATCATAGCTAATGGGAATATGAGGGGAAACCCATAAAATTACACATATCTTCACTTTGACTGGTTTTTTTTTTTTTGAAGTACAAAGTGAAACTTTACATATTTTATATGATTTTAAAATACTTCAAAACAAGAACACAATGCCAGAAATATCCTAGGAAATGAGGGTGGCTTGCCATTCACACTCCGCCTCAACCTGTTGCATATATACACCGAGAGAGATTCCAGGCCCTTCACATATTTCTCATCAGATAAAATGCATAAGAAGGGGGCAAAGCGTGTCAGCCAATGTCAGAGTGAACCTGCACAGACCCTTTCCTGTAGCAGACTGAGGAATGATTAGCTCACACGTGAGGCAGAAGTCATTTTCTTAACCTGCCCACTCCATGCACCATCAGCTCTTCCCTTCAGAACAAAAGGCATTTAAGTGAGGATTGGGTGAGAAGAAATCGTAATATATCAAAAAGAGCATGTTTGAGCATTTTCCCCTTAGAAGCTGTCTGTTGCATTTGTTTTAATTAAAAAGCAATCTGAGTCAGCTGCGATCTGATCTGACTGTATGAATGTTTAAATGGAGAGTAGCAAGCAAATGGTACCCACAACTCTTGTTGCTGATTTGGTTTTTGACTGGTTCTGTAGCAGTGGGCCTCTCTAGGAATGATGACAGACTTAGACCTCTAGCCCCACAAGCATTGACAAGGAAACTAACATTTGCCAAGTTTCGTGTCCTGTAGCCTGAATCTTTTTAACCTCACAGTGAGTTGTGGGTAAGAGTAATGGGCCCCCAACATTTCACAAGAAAACAACTTCAGCCTGCAGTCAACTCCTGTGGCTCCGAGCTGGCTGTGTTTTTCCCTTTCAAAGAGAAGCTGCTGCTTCAGCATCGTCTCCTGGAGCCCTTGGCAAGATTTCAGGCCATGTGTCAGGGGAACCCTTGCGCACATTACTATGACGGAAGCCAAGTGCTGTCCCACAAGTATTGAGTATTACTTATACTCCAGGGAGTTAAAGCAGACACATGGGTATTGCACAGCTCAGAGGTGCCTTGAAGAACACCAGTGTGCATGTCATTCCCCAGCAGCCTGTGACACAGCCCTTTCCCAGTCTGTATGGAGTTTAGCCAATGTGTTTGTTTGGTGGAATGTTTTCTTTTGTTAGATCCTCAAGTTAAGCAAGATTCGAACAGTTAAAGAGAAGAGTTTTCATAAATATATATGAATATATATATGTGTATATATATACACACACATTTTTAAGGAATGTATGACCCTCCACAGGGGGTATTTTATTAATAAATACAGTGTGTGTGTTCTTGGGAAAGGCCAACATTAAACTGGCTCACTGTTTTTGTCCAGCTAGCTGCAGATGACATTTAGGTGTGTTGTTTGGTGGGGTGACTCAATTTCCTGCATGATAGCTGGCAACTCCACATCGAATCTCCCCGCCACAGGGGTGGAGAGGATGTAAAGGTCAGTTACTCAATGTCTTTGTACAGTTGGGGTTAAATTTCCTGAAAGCAAATACTTAACAGTGGCCCTGGAAAACTGGAGCCAGTCCTGAAAGAAGGGAATTCTCAGCTCAACAGGTCTCTATCCCAGCAATGGCTTTATAAAAGAAATCTGTTTATTCTATTGCATGTAAATATTCTCTCAACAATATGTACACATGTTTCAAGGTAATTTCCTTCTCTAAATATATAGAGAGCATGGGAGATTTTGGAACTTATGTATGTGATCTTGCTTGATTTCTTATAGTCAAAATGGCTGAGCCAGGATTTGAATATGAAATGGGTGTTGTGAAATCAATTACCACTCCCTCACAGGCAAACCCTGTCTAAGTATGTGATGTCTTACAGCACTAATGTGAGACTTTCCCACATTAAAAAAAGAAAACAAACAAACAAAACCAAAAAGTGAAATATAATACACAGAGCCATATCCTTCTAGGTGCAAGGTCTAAATTCTACTTCTGATTTCAGAAAACTTTCATGAAAATGGTAAAAGTGGGCCCAGGGAGTGCGTGCCACATGCTTGGAGGTCCCTTGGAACTGAGGCTTTCAGAGTTGGGTGGCAGGAAGCAGGGACATAGAACACCAAGCTTTAGAGGATGCCTGGCTTTGGATAATTGGAAAGATGGCAGTGATGGATTCTACACAATAGTTGTGCCTCTAACTAAGGGCCACTCATATGACCATCAATTATTTTCCTCCTACAATTTCCTGTGGTGAAACTATATGGTAATGGGCTCCCCTGATGTCCAGACAATGCTCTACTTACATATGGAATGGACTCAGTATATGTAAATGTTGAATTATTGTTTCAGATCTTTAGGTTATGGGACAACAAAGGACTTTCTATGTTTTGTACCTTTTTTAATAACAGGCAGGTAATATTTTTCAGTTTTACAACCAGGGGAACACAAAACTGGTAAAATATTGAATAGTCACCTTGTAAATTATCTTTAAGGTGTCAGCCTTAAATTTCAATTCACCTGGCAAGGTTTAGGTAGTTGCTGACCTAAGATTCATTTACACACACACACCCATATACCCAGGCATATTTTAATGCTTAACACTCAAAATGACAAGGATACAGCTCAAAAATCTTGGGTGAGGACAAACCAAGTAGCAAACCTATCACACTCTGGAAGATGGTTGAAACTTAAAAAATTAAGGGAAATCCCAGAATCTGAGATTCAACCCATGAATCCTTTGCTATCACTGATAATTAGTGGAGTCTACACTGGGACAAATTTCTTTACCCACAGTGCTGTTGCTTGGAAGATAAAGAGGAGGACCCCGCCCCTTTCTGCTGACACTTTTGTAGGACAGACCCTTCGGGTTTCGACTTTTCTTTTTCTGAAGTAATATTGCTGATCAGTTTTGGAACTGATCAATTTAGGGAAATTGCCCAAGGTCCCTGGGTCAAGTTTTATCAACAGAACGCATTCTCCCACAGTGCTGCTGATGCTTAGTTTGTCTGTGGTGGGCAGAAGCAGACTTCCAGATTTTCTGTCTTGGATCCAAATCCAGGTGTTTCGTGTGCATTCTGCAGAGGAGAGACAAAAGCAGTGGTTAGTTCACATCGCTGTTCCTTTAAGGTAACTCTTGGGTGATTCTGAAGGTGAAATGCTGTCAAGTTTAGAGGCACTCTGACCCCACAACACTATGGTTTGTCTATTTACACCCAGACTAAATTTTAGAGAGGCTGGTTGGTTATTGGCATTCTGCCCTTAATAGAAACTATTTTATTCCCATAACCCTGTCCCTTCAAGTAAGTAAATCCTAAACCCGGTGTAACTACCAAACCTCAGCCTGCAGGAACTGTAGTGCCTGTCCTAAGTCACCTTGCTTTCGCCCAGGATGCCCAGGCCTGGCAGGCTGCTCTGGGACAGAGGGCCTGGGGACTCGGCTTTGCGCCCTGGGTCCCCGCAAGGCAGGTGCGCGCTCGGGCGGTCGCACGCGCCTGCGCGCTGCGGGCCGGCTGAGCCCCGCCTGAGCCCCGCGGGGACCCCGGGTGGCGGGCGACGCGTGCTCCACGCCGGGTTTTCCTCCACCCTGGTGCAGACCAGTCCCACGGAAGCGCTGCGCACACGCGGGCGCACGGCCGCGCCTCCCTCCCGGCTGCGCTTCAAAGCAGCAGCGCCGGCTCGCCCGGGGCGATGCCGCGGCGGCGAGGTGGTGGCGGGGCGGGTGGCACGGGCAGCCTATTGCAATTCGCAGTCCTTTCGTAAGGAGTCGCGGGGGGTGAGGGGAGCCAGACAGCGCCGCGGGGCCGCGAGGGGCACGAGGGGGGAGTGTTCCCGGAAAGCCAGCATGGAGCGGCGCTGCGCCCGCCCGCCCGCGGACTTGAGCGACAAAACAGGAAACGGCAGCCGCGGCTGATTCATTGGCTTCGCGCGCGGGGCTCGGCGGGAGGCGGCGTGGAGCCGCGGCTGCAGGACGCGGACACCCGTGGACCGCTCGCCCGTCTGCCGGCTGTCCCCTCCTCCCTCCCCCCGTCCGCCCGAGCGCGCCACCCCGGGGCAGCATCCGAGCGCAGGGATCCCCGAGCTTGCGCCGTTGAGAATTCGCCCGAGTAGCCCGTGCCAAAGTTGGCCTGCAGCACTTTGCGCCCCTCCCTGGAGGCCGACCCGCGACGTCAAGCTGGAGCATCCCGGCCAGCCTCAGCCCGGCCCCGCCAGTCGAGCGTCAGCCCCCTGCGCGTCGCCGGGCCCGGCAATATGAAGGAGCAGCCCTCATGTGCGGGCACCGGGCATCCGAGCATGGCGGGGTACGGCAGGATGGCCCCCTTTGAACTCGCTGGTGGCCCCGTGAAGCGCTTGAGAACTGAGTCTCCCTTTCCCTGTCTCTTCGCAGAGGAGGCCTACCAGAAACTGGCCAGCGAGACCCTGGAGGAACTGGACTGGTGTCTGGACCAGCTAGAGACCCTGCAGACCAGGCACTCAGTCAGTGAGATGGCCTCCAACAAGGTAAGCCCCTGCTCCGGTTCGGGTGTCAGTGACGCTGCTAGACTTCTGATTCCCACGCTGGGGAAGCACCGGTCCCTGAGACTTGGGGAAATACAGAGAGAAATTTGTCATGCTTATTGCGTGTTAGCTGTTCTGCTCCTTCGGAGGGAGGTTCCTGTTTGCACACTTCCCCGTAGGTACATTAAACATTTTACAACAGCAACAGCATCCCTAGGACCAAGGGTTCTTAGAGTAACACTTTGCCCTTGCAGTAGAAATTCAGTAGGGTCTGGTGGCGTTGGTTGCGTATTATCAGAGGTACTGCTTAAGATTCCTGGTTGGAAATAAAGAGTTGCAGGACTCCGTGAAGTCACTTAGGATGCCACCACCGACCTCGCTCACACCCAAGAGAGTTCACTGAACTTGCAACCTTCACCCCCATTTCTCTGGTTCTCAGGTTGCCTGTAAGGACCGGGCTTTTGTATATTCTCTTACGGGTACACATCCACAGAGGACATTAACAAAAGTTAGAAGGGTTGTTAGGCTGCCTTTGTCTCCTTCGGACTTGGAGACCAAATCCAGGTTTCTGAGGTCATTTAGTTACCACCAGGCTTCAGCTGGGCGTTTGCGCCATTTGTGTGTCAAGGTGCTGCTCGTCTTTGGCAGCTAATGAGGGGCTGAGAAGTGACCTTCAACAGCAGGCAGCCTTGAAGTAGCCTAAGAGGAGGTAAGGTAGAACGCTTCAAGATTTGCACTTAAGATAACAACACAATCGCGTGCTTTATGTCTTCAGTTGTACAAAGGAATACTTGTGATTATGTGGTTTTTAATGACTGTGTGGCATAGGGACCCAAGGAAGGCTCTGTACTTGATGCAGAGGCCTGAAGGAGTCAGTCAATAAGCTCATGTGGCAGTTAGAAATAGTCTCTTTAAGCTATTTCTGTAGTTGTGGGACACCTATTTACAAGGTCAGGAGGGTTATGACATTTTTTCCCCCAGTTGTATTTGGTTGTTTAGTCAACGATGCTTTCGTTTTGTTCTGCTAGATCAGAGTAGTTTCTTTCCACCTGCTTCGTTTCTCATGCAGATTTTATTAAAATGCCACCGCTTGTCATCCATCCACTGGAGTGGTGTATCTGTGACCCTGTTCATAGAGATTGCATTGTTGTTGAAGTGAAATGTGGCCTTAAACTAAAGGGGCTCCCCCCCCAAAGTATTAACACACCTACTAACCCCCACTGACCTACTGGCATGCACCATATTAGCAGTCAGATCTGCATTCTTGATTTTTGTTTGTTTTTGTCTTCTGGACCTCGTGTCTAAATTTGTCCTGGCTCTTCTTTGGGGTTACCAGTTTCTTACTGGGACTGTAGCTCCCTGCAGTGGCATTGAGTGCCACTGCTCTCGTTTAACTAACAAATTCTTATTTTATAAAATATGAGTCACTTTCTTTTTACAACTTGCTTTATGAAGCAGAAGACATGTGCTGAATCCGAACAGTGTCGTAAATGCTGAGAGGGCTGCTCTCAGTGGGCTTGGGTTCTCGCTTCTCCTGTACGGGTGGAGCAAAAGGCAGATCAAAATCTGAAAGCCCCTTGCCAGATGCGTGCATTGGCCCGTGTTTTTAATGTCATTTGACAATGCTTTTCATGCACCTGAACAGCTGCTTTCTAATTGATGTGAGCTCAAACAGTGTCATGATTTAAACTATGAAGGGATTTATGTCTATATTTTAAGCCGAAAACTTTATGCCATAGTTATGGCTCAAAATCATACCTTTCTTTTACAGGCAACAAAATAGACAGGGCTTTGTCTTTCTCAAATCTTGGTTGCAAGAGGTTTTCGAACTTTGTATTAGCTGCCTGAGGATGCATGGGAGGTGGGTTTAGTTGGCTGAAGTGAGATATATGTAAAGTGGGATATCTTTTCCAAAACACATTCAGCTATGCTTATGCCTCAAGCTTGAAAGATTATTGACATGACACATTTTATAAGCTGGCTCCGTTAGCCATTGCTTGGATTTTTAGTGTCTGTGCTATTCACTTCTTCATAAGTCCATTTATTTCTAAACTAGTGTTCCACTGGCCTGGTCTTCCAGAGATGAGAAAGTTAGCCTAAAGAAAAAAAGTCCCTGGTAAAGGTTGTAGAGCCACCCTTTTGCTTAATAAACAAGGGCAAGTAAGAGTAAGCCACTTCAACCGAGTAATAAAATAGATTGGGACAACTGGTAAACCAAGGGCTTTCAGTGACATCCTGCCTTCAACTTGTACTGGCAATATGAACAGCTTTCTTGAGACATTGCTAATCAGAGTGAATCAGTCTGATAAGTTACTTTTTATTTGACAAATTTATTGCCCTATATTCAGTCAATCCATTCTCTTTTGCTTTCAAAGATCAGGACTTTTCTCCTCTGTGGAATTTAAGAAAAACAAATTTTCCTAATATATTAAGAAAACACAATAATTTACTAAATAACAAGTCAAGATTTTTAAACCGATAATAGACATGACTCATGGGGGCGATTTGAGAGCTAGAAAATGGGAAGGGGGTTCCCAAGCCTGCTAACAAATAATTCATATATTCAATAAAATAAATTTGAGTTAGTGAGTAGTTTAAAAGTGAAGTCTAAGACAACGAGCCATATTTTCTGTATTGTTGTCACAGTATACATAGGCTGCTGGTTGATGGTGTGGGGACCGGAATAGGGTTAATGTGTCGGCCAAGGCCAGGGCTGGCTGTAACACATGTGGGTTGCTTGGGGGAGGGGGCAAGAGATTCCAGATGGTGTTTAATTTGAGTGATTCAATCTATGGCATTTAACCTTATAAGCACACTAATCTGCTGAAGATTCGAGCAGGTTGTTGCCCCCCAGAACCTCACTGCTACAATTGAGGGCAGTTTTAGTGAGACCTCGGAGCTTTGGAGGCGGACAGACCTGGAAGGAAGGAAGTTAGAGTTTTGTTCTTTGCTGGCTGAGTTTCTTTAAAAAAAAAAAAAAAAAAAAAAAATCAACTTTTTTTTTTAACATTTTTTTAAGCTTCAATTTCCTTAGCAGAATCTCCACACATCCACACAAATAATAATTAATTGGAAAGGTTCATATAAGAGTTGGAGGTCAGGTTTTCTTGAGTCCCTGTTTGTCTGAAATATTTGCTTTCGTTACTTTACCTCCCAAGAATAATTCTTTTTGGGTCTGCATTTCATGTGACAGATTTTTTTAGTTCATAGATAACTGTCTTTATCGCCCACAGATAACTAGAATGTTTTGAAGTTCTGTGTAGACATGCAGGATTTTTCTTACGTTCATATTTAGAATTTCAGACAGAACAAGGTACTTTGTTGTTCTGCGTAATTGTTAGTCTTTAGGACATATATAATATAAATTGTGAGGTTTGGACTACTTGCTGTTTTTCTATACAGATTTTGCAAAGTTAAAATACTTTCAAAGTAAAATACCTTCAAATGCAGAATATGCTCATGTTTCTGGTCGCCCCCCCCAGGGGTAAATTGAGGGTGACAGGGTGTAGGAGAGCTGGACAGGAGTCAGGTCCCCTTCTGCTGTGAAACCCCTTAACGCTCCTTTTGTGACCTAATAATACACATTTGCTCGGTCTTCCATGTAAGTTCAGTACTACTTGTAGGAGACGATTGAAATCTCCCTAGAAGCTCTCAACCTGAAATTGTTACTTGTTTTTGCTGTCATATTTGGGGGAGGGGCCCCTACTCGGCAGCCCAGCATTGCTGGAAACCCCTGGGCTTCCAGCTGCTTGGGATCCAAGCATCCTTTGATGAAACTTAAAGTTTTTCTGTGGGTCAGAGTCACTCTACGCCAGCTCTGCAGGCAGAGTTAAGACTTCTTCATGCATCTTAGTTTGTCTCTTTGGCCCATTTCTCCGTTCTCTGCTTTGTGTGTAAATAAAGCTGCTTTTCTGGGGCGGTTTTTTTCACGGCGGACTTCCCACTGGCTCCCCCTGCTGCCGTATGTGTGCCTAGCACAGGCTAGCTCTTGCTGTGGCTGCTGATAACGGTTTTCATCCTGCCAGGGGAATGGCAGGAAGGAAGATGGGATGTTCATAGATGTGGCTGAGTCTTCAGATATCCCCCGCCCTGCACAAGTATAAGATGATGTATTCATTCCATTAAGAAGAAAGCTAAGTTAGTTGGTTATGGGGCAAAAATGGGGACAGTTTTAAAACTTGTAACCGTTAACACTTAGAAAAGAGGATTGTCTGTCTTAATAAGTACATGAATTTTAAAAGAAAAGCTCTTCTATAGCCATAGCAACTCAGAGCTTGGCTTGTTGGTGTATCACCACAACCAGAAAACACTCCCTTGCTTTTAAGGTACCAATAGGAAAGAAGAAACGCTTGTTTGAAATGTTTTAAGTTTCTGCACGTGTGTACCTGTCCCGCACATGTGTGCACACTCACTTGGAGATGATAGGACACCTTTGCAGTGCTTTTCACCTGCGGTGAACCCTGGGAATCAAACTCAGGTGAACAGACCTGGTTGCGAGCACCTTTACCTAGTAAACAATCTCCCTGTCCAGGAGACGAATCAGAGAAGACTTTTCACTTAGCTGACTAGTAAGGCGTTTGATTTCAACTTAGCAAGACACTAAGGGCCAAAATGGGGGAAAGCCCTGGGTCAGCATTTGGTGTTGGAGAACTTAAAACACTCCTCACCTTTATGCTTCAACAGACTAATCATTACTAGAGGAATGCCTTCAGTTCTTACCTGTCAATTTTGATTCACAGGAAAATTGTATCTTCCGTGGCAGAGTAGTAGGAACTATCCTCCCCCTTTTTAAAAAAAAAAATGTAAGGTTTGACAGACATAGGACAGTTACAGGTGGGTTCGACGATTTGGACTTCTTTTCTGAAATAGCAAGGCTGGTAGAGGGGTAGGAACCTAGTGCCTCTGACATGTGGGCATCGGTGATAGGAAGGCAGCTTCTTCACCAACAGTTGCTGGATGAGCCTCGATATATTCTTAAACAGCAGACAGCTCTGCGGTGTCCA